TCCAAAACATCTGGAAGGGCACAGGTTGTACAAGCCTGATCTAGAATATGGTCTTCCTCTGTTCCTACTACTCTCCACCTCACCAAGCTTTATTGTCTTTTCTAGTGAGTCATGCCTTCTCATAATATTTCCACAGTGCAACAGTCTTAGTTTAGTCATCTTGCTTTCTAGAAATATTTCATCATACTCTAGCCAACAATTTCTTTTTACGGTTTTAGTGGGAAGCTGTTGGTTACTTTTCTAGACTCTATAACAGCAGCAGACAAGCTACTCTGCTAAAAAGAGCACTGCCCCTGTACTCACAGTACTGGTACCTGTAATTTTATTTAGTCACATTTGACAAAATATGTTCTCTCTGGATATTTTCGAGATATCAGGCAGTGTTACCTATGGCATTCCTAGGTTGGTTTCCATGCCAAGTCCAGAAACATCAGATATTAAAATATGGCTATTACGTATGTGCATGTACCTTCAGATTGGATTTTCTTTTTACTTTCAGAGTTTTCTTAAGTAAGCAATACTCAGAGGTAGTTTCTGCTATTTCCTGCTTCTGAATCAGATATCCATTGGCAGTCTCTATCCAAATACTAATTAGGGCTGACCCTACTTCCAAGATCCACATTTTGGGTTATCAATATTTATTATTTATTTCTTGTGTCCAAACCTATTTATTTTATCTATTCATTTAGTTTATTTATATTATACTTTTTCTCTCCATATGGAGACTCAAAGCGGCTCACAACCAAAATTATTTCAGTACAACTTAAAATATACAAATACACAAATATTATTATTATTATTTCACGCCTTTCTACCCCGCCCTTCTCAACCCCCGAGGGGGGACTCAGGGCGGCTTACAAAAGGCACAATTCAATGCCAACATAAACATAACAATGGATAAAACATGTAAACAGCAATTACAACAATTAAGACAGTTAGTCCATACATTAAAATCAATAAATTGATTTTATTTTTTAATACGCATTCACATAAGAAGTAATATATGCTAGTTTTGAATGGAATTTTAGAGTGTTTTCTTTTTCTCTCTCCCTGCAATTGTGTAGTTTGTAAGTCTCACTATCACTTTTACCGGATACATACTTGTTGGGATGGGAGGGAAAAAAACTAGTTGCTCACATTGTATTTTTTCTGTTTCAGATACAGATGAGAGCAAAAAACAAAAAGCAAGATCGCTTACCTGATGTAACTGATATTCTAAAAAGATTTTCAACTTTTTTTCAGTTTGTTATTGGTAATGGAGCAGTTACTAGATTTAAACTGTATTAAGAAAACCAGAAACTGAATGGCAAATATAAAAAGTCAATTCTTTTTTTACCCACAGGGATGAGTAATTAGGATATTTTATGTTTATCATATTTCTTTACTAATTTGAAGTTTAAATAACTTTTGATAGGATAATGAGTCAACAGTATAGAATTATGTAAAAAGTCAAGTCAATTATTTATTAAAAGTATAAAAAGAAATTGAGATCACAAACAGTGTAACTTTGTTAAGGAAAACAACAAAACAATAACTACAGTTCTTCAGCTGCTATTCAGTTTCTGGCTGGTCCATTTAGTCAAACAGACTAAGTTATGCATTTTGTTACCCCACAATGATATTTAAATGGATTTAAGCTTTTAAAATATTAAATCAGCCAAAGATCTATCTGAACACAAATAGACATTTTGGCCACGTTCTAATAGAGTATTTTTATATTCAAGATCACTTCTCCCTCCAACCTGAAGCCGCTCTCCATGTCCTAAAAATGTCTCCCAAGAATCTCAAGTAGATTTTGAGATGAAAGTGAATGGGTTTTCAGAAGCTTTTGGCAAAACCAATGGAATCCAGCACAGGTACACTCTGATACTGGCCTCTGAAATATTTGTGGTATCAAAACATCTCAACAGATGTCATTCTCTGCAGGTTTTTAAACTGAAGAACAACATGATCAAAATGATCCTATCATAACCATTTACACTACCAGATCTGTTTTATTGTTTTTGGAAATATAATTTTAATTCCCCAAACAAGGAAAGGCAGAATATAATAGCAAAAAAGAGTTCTTTAAAATCAGGTAGAAAGTTATATTAATTTTGTTCAGTAATTGGCCGGTAGATCAAACAGCAAAACAGTAAGGTTTGCTCATTTGCCCCTCTTATATACAGGCATGTCCCAAAGTTACAGATATCTGACTAAAATAGGACTACTTTAGGAAATCTGGGAAAGTAAACTAGGAACCTCCACAAAATATATCCTGTGGCAATGGTGGAGCATGTCCTAGCAGAAGAAGCTGGAGGTCACCCTCTCTTAGAATATAATTGACCCACCCCACCCGCCAACCATTCAAACAGTTCTGAAAAAAGTTCTTGTTTAATTCTATGATGTTTACTTCCTGGAAAGCATGCTTGGGATTGAAACACACACACACAAATAAGAGACACATAATTTACAAAAAAACTGCATGTGGAAGTGTCTGTATATAATATCTATATAAATTTGGATTTACTTATGTGTTCTACTTGACAGAATACACAGATTTGCTGTGAGTACAAAGGAAACAAGCTACATCTCTGAAGCAATTCTTGCAAAGCAATTCTATGTATTCTATGTATGCATGCTCAATGAAGCTTGTTCCACGAATCTCTGCACAACATTACAGCATAAAATTCTCCAAGGAAGGGCATGCGCGACAATAAATCAGATGAATAATAAAAGGATACTTTTCATTACAAATACCGTCAATCACTTTTGGATTGGAGAGAGTACGCCACACTAAAGTGTTGCCCACTTTGTTTTGGCTCACTTCATTTTTCTAGGTAAATAATGCACTTATTAAATAAAAATAAAAGTCAGAAATAGGAAACTGCCATCCTGCCTTGTGTTTTTTCAGGAATATTCTGTAGTCCTCATTAAACCTTTGAGGAGTTACTGCCATTATACCCTCCCGCCAAAAAAAAAAAAAAAGTAAATAGCAAAAAATGTCAATAGTTCTTCAGAGGCTTGACTGGCAATAAAGATAATTTTTCAATAGGGTATTGCCACTGCAGCATAAAAAGAATAGATGGTTGCTTCTTCTTACAGAAATAGTTTTGAAGGTGTTTGAAATTCTGCATGCATAGTAAGTGATTGATTTGAGATACTAATCAATGTGTATTTATTAGCTCAAGTAAGTTGGTATTAGACAGTATGTTCAGCAAAATAGGCCAAAATAGGAAAAAGAGTTACAAACCTTAAGATATTCACTAAAATCTCCATTGTTTCACATTAATAAGAACATTTTTTCTCAGGACAATAATGTGATGTATATCAAATTATATTGCCCAGCCCTGTTTCAGGACTTTCCTAGAGCGGAGGATTGACTTGTATCATTCTTTGTAATATCTCATTTCACATTGCCTCATCCAGTTCTAATGAAATCTTCCTAGACTCATTTTTATCAAGCTTCACTACTGTTTTTTAAAAAGACAGTTTGCAAAGTGCTTTGTGAATAAAATCATTGTGGTACAGTTAATAGTGCAGGAAATGGGTTTCCTGAGCATCTGTGGTTAACATGCTGACCAAGCTGCATATTAACATCTTCTATTCCCATCTACAAATGCATAAATGTACATTTAGACAGATTTTCCGATGGGTTTCAAGGAACTCAATCTTTAAAAAAAAAACCTTATGTCTATAAGTAGGTTGGCATATCTCCAGCTTGTTACTAACTGCAATGTATACAATTTAAAGTAATAAACTTTATTATTTTAGATTGTATACAGCACTAGGAAACAATTGGATTTCCTTGCATGTTCTCAAGGGGAATTGTCTACAAATGTCACTTTTATAATCAAGTTCATGAACATTAAATGGAACAAAAATACATTCACTGAGTACATTACCTCTTAAAGGGCAGTGCAATTGGCCAAGTATACCATACAACTATTTTGAATTTAAGATGTTTGCAAGATATCTGGAAAGGCAGGCTTGACATACAAAATATTTAGCATTCCATGCAGTGGTTTTCAGCCTTTTCCATCTCATAGCACCCTGACAAAGTGCTAAAACTGTCAAAGCATGCTTTGGCAAGTTTTTGAGGAGTCTTTTTATTACTACAAAGACAATGTTTAATATTCAATAACTAAAATTTTAATCATTGTATTATTTTTAAAAAAAATACTACTAAAACATTCCCAGCTTGGTGATGTGTAATATCTAATAATCCTTGGGGGAAAACTTAATTAGGAGCTAAATTCAGAAAAAAAACAAACCAGAAATAACAAAATAATGATTAATTAAACCAAATTAATTCAAATTCAATGCTTTTTATGTTTGTGTTTTTGATTTGATTTCTTAGTTTATACAAAGCACTTAATTCATACATGGAACTGATAGAGAAACTCTGAGGAAACTCAAGGTTTAGACTAGGAGTCTTAAATGTGTGAAGATTGGGCACATCTAATAAGAACAGAAATACAGATGTTGTGCTCAAAACCCAATTCTATATTTGACTAGACATATAACTGAACTGTGAAATCATTCAGTATACTGGTGAAGGCATTTGCCAAGCCTTAAATCTTTTAAATCACTATGCAATGTACACTGTGTTTCTTAGAGCCCCCGGTGGCGCAGTGAGTTAAACCCCTGTGCCGGCAGGACTGAAAACCGACAGGTCGCAGGTTCGAATCCGGGGAGAGGCGGATAAGCTCCCTCTATCAGCTCCAGCTCCTCATGCGGGGACATGAGAGAAGCCTCCCACAAGGATGATAAAACATCAAATCATCCAGGTGTCCCCTGGGCAACGTCCTTGCAGACGGCCAATTCTCTCACACCAGAAGCGACTTGCAGTTTCTCAAATCGCTCCTGACACGACAAAAAAAAATTATGTTTCTTCATCAGTTAATTAATTGTTGCATCACCATAAAAAAAACCCTGATCATCCTAAACTATGCAAGGAAGATCACAACAGGGTTTTAAACAAAAAATGAATCTCTCACCACTAGAGCTTAATCTCTTACCACAGCGACATGATCCCAACTCTTGCTGTACCAGCTCCAGTTTCGTTTGGCACTGGAAACATCTGCGTCTGCTCTTCTGTTTGGAACGGTTCATTTCTTCAGGCCTGTCATTGCATTCCTCCAGTAACCGTGGTCGCTTCTCAGGGGAAGCCTCATTCTCCAATTGTGAATCTGTTTCCCCCCCCAGGAAAGACAATTAGGTTAGCTTTTTCTTTACAAGACCTCTGGATTAATACATGTAAGTAGCATGTTGGCTCACTTTGCCTTTTAAAGTACCCCATATACGTATGTTCTCTTAATCATCAAAACAGGTACTTGATCAGTAACCTAGGTCCCCCCCCCCAAACATCCTTTACAGATTTCACATACACACAATAGATTAACTTTGTTTGGTTGTGGTTCTTGCTCTGTGCCAGCATTTGGACAACCCCTGCACAGGTGAGCTTTGTTTTTCATATCCTTTATAGAAGTTTCTACACAGCTTCATCCACTGCCCCTATACAAACTAGTGATAGCTGTAATGAAAAACAATTGAACACAAATTCATACTATTTCCTAGCAGAGCAGGAAAGAGATTTTTGGAGCACAGTTTGCCAGCTGAAGCTGAAATAACCAAACGAAGGTACATGAAAGCACCATACTGTGCATTCCTCTCACTATAAGGATAACAATCTAAATGTAAATGATTATATACAGATAAGATAAACTAAGCACCATGTACATGCTGCTACAGGCTCAGAGGAGCTCTTTAAAACCAGCAAAGGCACTACATATTTTAATAACCTTATTTGTAATGTTTTCCTCTCTTGGGAAAATCCTGTTCTTCAGAAAGAGAAGAGATAGGAAAACCCATTTCTTTATGAGACTGTGAATTGAAAGGTGCTTGAGGTAAAACATCTATAAGAAGGGAGAAACTAACTTATAATAAACTATTAATATTGAGAATACCATGGTGAGTAAAAAAAAAATTCAAACCTACCAACTTCAAATTATTATGTGGGCATGTGTTTCAAGTGAGGGCCAAGTAACTAAATTGATTGACTACAATTATGAAAGAAAAAAAATAAATTCTGTTTCCATAATAATGAGACATAGCAGCAGAAAACCACATCAAAGGATTGGTAGTTTCGGTCTACATATGAATGTACTTGGAATATCGCTGGAGTCTACTCTTCTTATCCTGGCAAGGGAGGGGCATCACTAGACAAACCATACTATACGAGGTGATTTGATTATCCAGTTTGTCTAATGGAATTAAAGCCACTGTATAATATTTTATTGAGTAGTAGACTTCACTACAATCTGAGTTAAAGAGCTGTAGAACTCTTGTGTGTAATGTGAGAGTGATCGTACTAGTGCACTCAGCTAAAACCCCCAGGTTCTAATCTCTATTCGAGTGACACAGAGGAGCATCACAGTTGTTCCCAGTAAATTAGCAATGAGGCCAAGAGTAGGGTTCAGATTCGTTAGGCGTCTACACCTTATTAGTACACCCTAGTTTACTCTAGCCAAACAAAAAGATATGTTCAGGAGGGGTTTGCCATTGCCTTCCCCTAAGGCTGAGAGTGTGTGAATTGCCCAGTGAGTTTCATAGCTGAGAGAGAACTCATTATATACAGAGTAAATAACGAATGATCTGTTCTACAGTTTCTAAAGGAGTCGTTTCTTGAAACTGTAGATACTCTGAAGGATTGAGGGGGAAACTATAAGGGAAAGGAACAAAATGTTATTGTAGTCTTGAAGGGACAGGACATTGTCCTTAAAATGTGTTTTTTTTTTCAGGAGCTCATATTGTCATGCCTCTACTATTTAATGTTCTCTCCCCATAATTTCCAAATAAACTATGTCAAAACTATTGTTACTGACTTTCAGTCTCTATTTATCTCCTGCCATAGTAGCATTTTCAGACTGTACATACATTGTTTCACTAACAACACTGTGGCACTTCCTTGTTATTTCACAGAATTACTCCTCTGCATGAAGATAAGAACACTGAAAATTATGGGTTCCTTACCTGTAACCATAGTTTCCTGAGTAGTCACCTGTGAATTCGCACATATGGTATTCCTGCGCCTGCGCAGAACCAGCTTCGGAACCTTCTAGAATCTTAAAGAAACATTTTTGCTCCCCTGGTCCCGCCCCCCCTCGAGTATATAAGGCCCGTGGGCGGGACCAACTGTCAATTCTCTTACGCTGCACAGCAGCCAGAAAGAAAGCGGCATGACACTCGAGGGGAGGAAGGGCGGGGATGTGCGAATTCACAGGTGACTACTCAGGAAACTACGGTTGCAGGTAAGCAACCCATAATTTCCTGTCATAGTCAACTGTGAATCGCACATATGGTAGACTACCAAGCTAAGAAGAAGGATGGTGGGAGTCATGCCACAGCAGAGAAAAGAACAGTCCTACCAAAATGAGCCTCTCTTCTAGATCTCACATCGAGCTTATAATGAGAGACAAAGGTGCTCGGAGAGGCCCAAGTGGCTGCTCGGCAGACCTCTTCCAGAGGAACTCCCTTCAGAAACGCCATAGAAGTGGCCATGGCCCTAGTTGAATGAGCATGCAACTGTTGAGGCAATTCCTTCCCTGCCAAGCAGTAACAAGTGCGGATGGTTGCCACGATCCAAGCAGAAAACCGCTGAGATGTAACCGGTAAACCTTTAGTATCTTTCCGATACTTAAGAAACAATCTAGGAGATTTTCTGAAATTCTTTGTTCTCTGTATGTAGAAAGGTAGAGCCCTCCTAACATCTAACAAGTGTAGACTTTTCTCTAATGGTTTTTCCGGGTTCTGAAAAAATGCTGGAAGGATGAGTTCCTGGGAGTTATGGAACCGTGTGGAGACCTTGGGCAAGAACGCCAGGTCTGTTCGTAAAACTACCTTATCCCCATGAAACTTCAAATAAGGCGGGTCCACCCTAAGTGCACACAACTCACTCGACCTCCTGGCCGATGTAATAGCTACTAGGAAAGCCACCTTCCAGGTAAGCGAGTCGACGCCAACGGTTCAAAGGGTGCCCTCATCAGCGATGAAAGAACCAACTCCAGGTTCCAAGAGGGCGCAATAGGGGCTACTGGTGGTCTGACATTGGCTAGACCCTTTAAGAAGGCCTTGACCGTATGGTCAGTGAAGCACGAAGGTAGCCCTACTTTTCTTCTGAACCATGAAATGGCTGCTAAGTAACACTTAATGGAAGAGTTAGAAAGGCCCGATTCCGACAGAGATAACAGGAAATCCAGAACTACGGAGATAGGAGCTGATTCAGGTCGAAATTCCCTCGATACAGCAAACTTACTAAAGCGTGCCCACTTAAATGTGTATGACCGTTTAGTCGATGGCCTATGGGCCGCCTCAATAATAGATAAAACAGACTGCGAAAGGCGTGGGCCGTTTTCTATTCGATTGGACGAACTAGCCAAGCCGTCAGTCTCAACGTTTGAACATCTGGGTAAAGAACCCGCCCCTGTTGGGAGGTTAGGAGATTCGATTTGTTCTTGAGTCTCACAAAGTTCCCCTCTGATAACTGCAGGAGTGGGGCAAACCATGGTTGACGCGGCCACCAAGGGGTTATCAAGATGCAATGTGTGCTGTCCGTTTGTATTTTTGCAACCACCCTCAATAGCAGAGGGAAGGGCGGGAAAGCGTAAACTATGGGACCGTCCCAATTCCTTAGAAGCGCATGCCCTAGACAATCCCCCTCCAGAGAGGGTTGTGTCCTTACGCAGAATTTGTCGCATTTCTTGTTCTCGTGGGATGAAAATAAGTCTATTTCCGGATGACCCCACATCCGAAAAATCTTCCCCAACTCCTCCGGGTCCAGGGACCAATCATGACGCCCCATTGGACTCCTGCTCAGAGAATCTGCCAGGGAGTTCTGATCCCCTGGAAGGTGTGAGACTAGCAAAAAGGTCCCTCTCTGAATGCACCAATCCCAGATGCTGATCGTGAGGTGCAGAAGTTGATGTAAATGTGTACCGCCCTGTTTGTTTAGGTAGTACATGACGGTTGTGTTGTCTGTTAGAACCTGTACTACCGTGTTTCTTACCATGCCTTCGAATGACTTTAGGGCTTTTTCTACTGCCATGAGCTCTAACACGTTTATGTGGAGCATGGCTTCGCTTGAGGACCACTTGCCCTGGGCAATGACGCCCTGTGCATGCGCTCCCCAACCCGTCAGGGAGGAATCCGTTGTGATAGTTAGTGTAGGAGATGGGGGTTGAAAGGGAAGTCCCCTGCAAACCCACTGGGGCTGTGTCCACCACCCAAGAGAATGGCGGACATGCTCCGGCAACGACAGTCTGACCCCAGGGTTGTCCCTGAGGGGGTTGAAAACTGAGCTAAACCAAGCCTGTAGGGGGCGCATTCGTAACCGTGAAAAGGGGGTTACCGCTGTGGTAGAAGCCATATGACCCAAGAGGATCTGGACTTGTCTGGCCGTCACAGTGGAGTATTCCCGAGCCATTCTGATGAGTTCCTGCAGGTTGGAAAACCGGTCGCCAGACAGGTATGCCCTCTGAGTACGCGAATCCAGAAGGGCTCCAATAAATTGGATTTGGCGAGATGGCGTTAGGGATGACTTCTCCATGTTGACGATCAATCCTAAAGACTGAAGGAGACAGAGAATAACAGAAACGTGACGCTGTAGTTGGCTGCGTGAGCAAGAAACAATCAACCAATCGTCTATGTAGGGGTAAACTACAATGCCCTGAGTGCGTAGATGGGCTACCACAAAACTGGAGCAACGGGAGCCTCGAGGGGCTCAACATTCAAAGTCGTGGAGGGAACAGCCGTAGGTTTTAGAAGGATGGGGCTATTATCATCAAAGGGCTTCCTTGAGGCGCCCTGTTTGGGTTTGTTTTGATAGGGCTGGAACCTTGGTTTACGATTATAGGAGATTCTCCTATTTCCTTGGTACCTAGATGATGAGGAACCCCTTCCCCTAAAGGGACCTGAGTAAGAGTTATTAAAATTCTTACAGAAATTGCCAGAGGGAGGTTGCCACCTTGTATGCTGTTGGTTGTAGGGCTGCCAGGTATAGCTGAACTTATTGGCGGCCTGGTGCACTTCTTGCTTTTCCTTTAGTGTTCCATCCGTTTCCGGATTGAACAGACCTTCCTCGTGAAGAGGAAGGTCTTCGGCTAAGGCTTTGCCTTCCTCGGAGAGGTTAGCA